TGATGCTGATGATGTCTTTAAATAACAGTAGATATATATAATAAAAAAGGGGATAAAATTTTGTATAAATCTTCTTAGATTTTGTAGGCTCTAATTTTTTACACACGCTAAACAAAAGTAAAGCCGCAAAAACTACACCTAATTAATAATAATACTTACTACTACGTGACCGAAGCCGCGGGCAAAAGCTAGTATGTATTGCATTGCAAACTGATAATCTTTATCACAATGTCAAATAATTCAACAAACATCGTAGCTACGTGGGTGAGTGTATCAGTATTTCATAATTAACCTTGATTCATTATTTATTTGATAATTTTTACTGTACTTATTTAGATATAAAAGTTGTAAAATATACTAATTGTATTCGACGGTGATTACAAAGCCTGTGTTAGACTACTAATTTATTTATTTATTTATTTAACTTTAATGCACACAATATAATATATAGTAATGATAATATACAAATGAATGTGGATGGTTATAAGGGCAGAGGAAGGCCAAAAAAGAGATGGATGGACTGTGTGAAAGATGATATGGTAAGAAAGGAAGTAAATAACGCGATGACTGCGAACAGGGATGAATGGAAGCGAAAAACATATTACGACGACCACAAGTAAATGGGATAAGGAAGAAGCAGATGATGATGAATATAATATATAGTAAAGTACATTTGGCGGACTTAACACCATGCGGTATTTTCTACCAGGCAACCATAGGTGGTGCAGAGAATAATTGTTTTCGGTGCAAAATTATAAACATAAACAAAATGCATTATCATCATTGATGGCAATTAGTAGTCTAACACAGACTTTTCACGAAATTTCATTTCATTTAATGTTACATATAGATATATAAGTAAACGATGTAAACAAGCTGGTTTATCAGCTACCTGCTAATAAAAGTCCCGTCAAAATCCTTCCAGCCATTTCAGAGATTAGCCGAAACATACATACTGACAGACAGACAAAAATGGTAAAAAATGTTATTTTGGTATATGTACCGTATTTATAGTCATACTAGCTGCGTAGTTTTAAAGATTTAAGCATACATAGGGACGGACAGACAGCGACAGCGACTTTGTTTTATACTATACTAGCTACTCGGCCCGGCTTCACACGGGTGTATATGTATTATACATATAAACCTTCCACTTGAAACACTCTATTCTATTAATAAAACCGCTTCAAAATCCGTTGCGTCGTTTTAGAGATTTAAGCATACATAAGGACGGACAGACAGCGACAGCGACTTTGTTTTATACTGTGTAATGAAGCATGTAGTAAAAAATGGTTATTTCAATATAACAAACAGACACTCCAATGTTTATTTATATGTATAGAAGCATGTCAGCGGGGAGGGTCCTCATTGTTAGCAAGGGGCACTAGTAGCCCTAATTATATAATAATGTTTCTGTAGAAAATATCTAACTTAAAATTCATAGCGCTGACAATGTTATGTGATTGAACAGAGATAAGTTTATTTGAATAAAGATTATTTATATTTCTATTTCTATTTCCTATTACTAGCAATACATATAATTAAATCAATATTTGGTCTATTTAAATTACATAAAAAAGAAAGTAGGTACTTTTGCGATGATAACGATCTCATATAAAAAAAAGAAATTATTACACCAAATTATTAATTTTAATTGCTTCATTTAAATTTACTTTCGATTGTTTTTATTGCACAATGGTGTCCCACTATGTAAAAAAACGAATCCACGAGTGTCATTGACCCTTGCCGTTATCAGTGGGTTGAATACGAAATTCTCATTCTGTACTTCCGGTACAACGTTTATTTTTAAAATACAGTGGACTCGCTTTACTGATAACGATCTAATCCGGCCCCCTATAAAAAACATTGAAATTATTTATTATTGAATTATTAATTTTAATTGCATATACATACATACATATATAACATAGAATCTTATCACTGATCTGTTTTGTCGGATTACAAGATACTCTTTATGTAAAAAATTCGACTATAAGCAGAGGTCATTGACCTCTATAATCCGTTATACGATGGTCCGAATACCCTGCAAAACGTTTGTCTGTACTTCCGGTCCAACGTATATTTATATAATATAAAGAATCATCATTGGATCTATAACCTGTGACATCGGATTACAAGTTTGTAAACGGTATCAAATTTTGTAAAAAAAAGGACTATCAATTGGGTTTCTTGCCAGTTCTTCTCAATCCGATCTATTCGATACCGAACTGGACGGATTGTCGGAAAAAATTAAACTTATATAAGTAAAAAACCATTGTTCATTTAATACTAGCTGAACCTGTGACATCGTGTCCCTATAACATTTTTTGTATGAATCTGCATTCAAATAAATAGAAAAAATCAATTCAATTGAGTATTCCAATTGCTTGTAATTGGATCTATATACCGAACTGGACGGTAGCGGAAAAAATTAAAATTATAGTGTAAAAAACTTGACGTTCATAAGCGGATAAAATGTCCTACATGAATAAATGATTTTTGATTTTAAATTTGAAATGAAACTCAGATAATTCTGAAATTAACACACACAGACAGTAAGACAAATATTCAAAAAATAATTATTTTCATTCTATTACATTAAACTCCTCACTAATAGTTATTCTCGTGTATCTTTCATATACAGACAGCAATGTTACGTTACATTTTTATTATATACTGACTTTGCCTGCGGTTTCCCCACATAACGTTCATAGCCTACTAGCTATTCGCCCCGGCTTCGCACGGGTGTACATGTATTATATATATAAACGTTCCTCTTGAATCACTCGTATGTATTAAAAAAACCGCTTCAAAATCCGTTGCGTAGTTTTAAAGAATTAAGCATACATAGGGTCGGACAGACAGCGATAGCGACTTTGTTTTATACTATGTAGTGATGATGATGATACAACGAGTCCATTACTATTCCAATCAAGAAATCCAAAATGTGTATCCAGCCGGGAAGGCTGAAACTAGCGAGTGTGGTGTACTCAGACAGACTTTATACCAGTGTAAGTAATACGGTGAAATGAGTCATAAAATAGTTGACCTTATATGATGTGGCGTACAATGAGAATATTCGTTACCGGTATGTGTATAAGAGTGCCAAGTGACGCTTTTTCAAGGTACTCTGTACTGTGTATCCTAAACTACTAATATCAAAGTTCTTACCTAACTGTTATATAAATCTTGACTATCCTTATACTGATCCTTACTAGTATTATAAATGCGAAAGTAACTATGTCTGTCTGTCTCGGTTTCACGCCAAAACCACTGAACAGATTTAAATGAAATTTGGTATATAGATAGTCTAGACCCTGAGAAAGGACATAGGCTACTTTTTAATGCGAAAAAAGGATTGAAAGGGGAGGTGAAAGGTTATACGGAAGTATCGTCATATTTCGCGGACGAACGAATCTCTACTTTTTAATTGCGATATTAGTGCTTTAAATTATATGGCAAAAGAAAATAATGTTTGACGGCCCGACAGTACAGATATACATATAATGAAACAATTAAAAACAATAACGGACGATAGGGACAAAAGGGAATTCACTGTCACAACAGCTTCAAACGGAGACACGGTTGCACTATCGGTGTCCGCTCGTATTAGGAGTGAAACTCAAATTAATAATACTAATAATCTAATAATCTCAGGACAATTCACACAGCGCCATCTAGATCCAAGTTAAGCTAGCTAAAGCTTGTGTTATGGGTACTAGACAACTGATACATATACATAGATATTATGTTTTTGTAAATACATATATGTTTGGGAAACTACTCTGCTACCAAAAGTTTAGGGAATTTACTCTCTGTATATATATAGTGAAAAATGAGTGGAAGCGTCAGTCACGTACCTGTGCGGATTTCTTGGGCTTCAGGGTCTCGAAGATATCTTCGCTAGCTTTCCAGTTTCACAAAGGTTTCACATAATATTTTAATTCACAATACAATGCGCGTGCCTCATGGCCGCCGTATGCAGCGCAATTAGTACTAGGTAAGGGAGGGGAGGCAAAGGCGCAGGAACCACCGACCATCAACGGACTCTAATATAATAATCAACTGATGTCGATGTTAATTTTTTGAACATATATATTATATATTGAAAACAAGTCAAGGTCAAGAAATGCGTGCTTTTCAGCGGCATTCCTTACTTGTAATTTCTTCTATATTCCGTTATATTGGAATTCGGCCATGGGTTGCATGATCTTGTTTGGTTGTGGAAAACACCCAGACCGATACAAACAATCATACTCATGAATACAAATGTGCCGTGCGAGGAATCGAAACCGCGATCATCGATGGTAAAGCGGTGTGCTAGTTCGCTAGACCACCGAGGTCGCAAATTAATAATATTGTTACATGTTTCTACGGCTACTGCCTACTGCCGACGGCATGCAGCGCAATTATACTTAGTCAGTATAAAAGTACTACCAACCACCGACCATCAGTCACTTAAAGTTGAACCAACTTGATGTCTGATTAAATTTTTTTAATTCGCTAATGATATATTGTATATGTGCTATAAACGTAGTTGTTGTGGTTTCCTTACTTGTAATTTCTTCTATATTCTTTTATATTTAACATTCGGCATGCGGTTGCATGATCTTGTCTGGTTGTGGCAAACCTGTCGCAATCTTTACCAAGATGGAACATGGTTTCTGGAGTAGTGTTAGCGCACGGGCAAGTGATACTATTATTTTGAAGCGGTGAAGGCATTGTTTGTGATATCCATGACCGGTTAAAAATTTTAATTCACAACACAATGCGCGCGCGCGCCAAGTGTTTGTTAAGCTAATGGGGGGAATAGGAACAAAAACTAACGGACTCTAATATAATAATCTGTGCCTACGATGGTATAGGGTAGATTTTGAACAAAGAAACTATTGTGATCTGGGCACCATTTCTCGGTATATAGGCTATTGTTGGGGTTTTCATAAAGAGCAACTCAGAATACGTTATGCAGAACCTGCCTGTATTGTGTCTGTAGTACTTACTCTTCCCGATGTGCACGGTGTAGGTGAGGTCCTGGAAACTGAGGTTGACCGGAGGACGTTGCGGCAGGTGGGACAGGTGCTCCCGGCCGATGGCGCGCCCAGAGCTCGAACCTGACCCCTCCATGTTGATTAACGAACTCATTCGCGCATCGCAGTCAGCACTGAAACAAACAATCATATGATATACCTTTATTACATTACTAGCTGTGCTCTCGATTTCACCTGCTTGAAATTTATAGCCTATGGTTTATTCTGATCTATCTGATATATAAAATTGTCGCGTCACAAATTCGTGTTTATTATTCTCCGAAAAGACCGGCTTGACCGATTTTGATGAAATTTTATATTTACCCAAATTCAGTAGATCTGAAAATAGGTTTATAACTAATTTTTATGCTCCTAAGTCTTAATAGGCTTTTTTTTCGGCAATTTTTTTTATTTTTATTTTATTATGATTTAGCATTGAAAAATACACACAACCCTAAATTTTCACCCTTCTATCATCAACCCCTATTTTTTAATACCAATTTTAATTTGTGAGGCAAAACAACGTTTTGCCGGGTCAGCTATATTATAAAATCTGGAGATTTTGTCAAGCTAAAGAGGAAACGCCACTACACATCCTATGTGGTTGTAGTCCACTCATGCATAACGAAACATCTCCTTTGGAAAGTATACACTCAATCCTGAGGAGACAAAAACCATCGCTCCTAAGAATATCCTTCAATTCTTGTCCCCACGGGTCTACGCTGCGAACTTGGAAAAGGGCAAGTACGACAGATCTATATGGTAACAATGTCACAGATCTTAGCACCTAACAATAACCCCCATAAAAAAAAAGATATATTATTGCAAAGTTTCATAACCCCCAATAAAAACCTATATTATTGCAAAATTTCATTAAAATCCATTCAGTAGTTTTTGCGTGAAAGAGTAACAAACACCCATCTATCCACACTCACAAACATCCGCTTTTATTATAAATTCATTTTTTATTATAAATCTTTGCATTAATTTTATTTTTCATAGATGATAATGGAATGGTGCACCCGCCTGCCATAAAAATAACTCATTATATTTTATTTTCTAGATCTATACAATTATGGAATGCAAAGTTTAAATAAATATATAAACTAACAATCCCCTGCACCTAATTGTATATATTCTTATGATAAAATAACTCGTAACCGACCTCCTCTCTTCTCTTCCGCTTGCTGCGCTCAACAGGGTCCATAATTGACCTACTTTGAAATGTACCTGTCTATCTATCTACTGTACAATTATGGAATGCAAAGCTTAAATAAATAAATAAACTAACAATCCCCTGCACCTAATTGTATATATTCTTATGGATGATAATGGAATGGTGCACCCGCCTGCGCTAACGGTTTAAACTGGCCGGGCACCAGTGGAGGATGATAAGATGAGCATGAAGTCAAGTCAGTCTCTGGCAATTTACTGAAATTTACCACAATGATAACCATGTGGAGATGGGCATGGTACTTTGCTGAGATCATTGGTCCAAATTACTAACAATCCCCTCTGAATCTAATTGTATATATTCTTATGGATGATAATGGAATGGTGCACCCGTTTGCGCTAACGGTTTACGCTGGCCGGGCACCAGTGGAGGATGATAAAATGAGCATGAAGTCAAACAGTAAGTCCATGGTAGCAATTTACTAGAAATTGACCATGATGGTTTTCAAGGTTACCTTAGAAGTCAACCTGACATGTTACTTTGCAAATCATTAATCCAAACAACTTACAATCCCCTCCACCCAATTGTATATAAATACAGAACCAATGAAGAAAACAAGAAGCCTCTGGAGACGGGTGATCACAATTGAGATGGGATAAAGCACGAAAAGTAGTAACAGTTTAAATTTACAAATAATAATCTCAGGACAATTCACACAGCCCCATCTAGACCCAAGTTAAGCTAGCTAAAGCTTGTGTTATGGGTACTAGACAACTGATACAAATACATAGATATTTTTTTTGTAAACACATAGAAAACACCCAGACCGATACAAACAATCATACTCATGACTACAAATGTTTGTGCTGTGCGAGGAATCGAACCCGCGACCATCGGTCGTAAACCGGTGTGCTAGACCGCTAGACCACCGAGGTCGTCTGTTATCTATTAATGAATTGTTTAATAAACAATTATTATTATATTAGGAGGTACTGTTGTGCATTCGTCATCAAATTCAAATTCAAAAATCATTTATTCATGTAGGACATTTTAACTTATGAACGTCAAATTACAATCATCCTTTGAAATTACAATTGTATGTAAATTAAACGAGATACAGATAGTATCTAATAAGTTTCTTATCTTAATCTAATTGTTTAAATCAATAACAACATAGTAAGGTTACAATGTTATTATTGATATAAACAATAATTGTTGTTGTTTTCACTAACTGACATTTTACCCTTCTTGTATTGTCCCCGTCAGTAAATTGACACTTCCTATCTTCGTTAAAGTTAACTGTCAAAACATCAACATCAGTGTCGGAAATAACGTCGTTTATTTGAATATTTTGTCTTGTAAACATAGTTTTTCCTTGACTAGTACCAATTGACGGAATGCCGCACTGTTCACGTTCAAATTTAACATTTACTAGTGAAAAAGCAGCCACAAATCTACATAATTTAAATTTGTCTTGTAGTTCCTCCGCAGAAATAACACCCACTGAGGTGACCCATCCGTGACCTTCTATTATTCCGAATATTATATAATCTTAAATCTACTTCGCAGTTATCATTGCGTGTGACGTGTACTGTGACGTGGTCGTGTGGAATGAGTAGTCATGCTCACTAAAATGTCCAGACATGTGGCGGCGTATAATTGACCCTAAAATATGGTCGCGCGCAGTGATGACCCATACTCGTGAACGAGTGCTGCTTGTAGGGACTGGTCTGCTCTTATTCTCATTGCATATATTATATTATATAATTTCGACTTGTAAATGTAAACTCACAAGGATTATTTAAAAGCAGTTTCTTGCTCGTTCTTCTTGTGATCATTATGACTATTCAAAAGTGCTTAAATTAAGTTTATTTGAATAAATGATTTTCTATTCTATTCTATTCTATTCATTATCATTACATAGTATAAAATAAAGTCGCTGTCGCTGTCTGTCCGTCGCTATGTATGCTTAAATCTTTAAAACTACGCAACGGATTTTGAAGCGGTTTTTTAATAGATAGAGTGATTCTAGAGGAAGGTTTATATATATAATACATGTACACCCGTGCGTAAGTCGTGACGAGTAGCTTGTAAATTATATAGTATTCATAATACTTCAGAATTCATTGTTATTTCTGTGTTGTCTCAGGTTAACGTAAATAAAAATGAATTGGTGAATGTACATTGTACATATCGCATATCTAGTACAATACTGGTGTAACTAAGAAATTTGAAATTTATGAAATTAGACTTTAATTCCACAGTTATAAAGTGGACCTTCCAAAATTTGTAATTTTTGAGTTAAGCCAGTATTATAATAAGTGTGCGATATATTTGCATCACTTCAGAACAGTTACCCTGTATGAAAGAAAATATTTGATAAAACATCAACTAAATTCTAATAAAGATTAATATTGTCATACATGTTGTCTGTACACGTTGGAATCTGTATTACATATCTTTTTTTATTGTCTATGTTTTTTATAATAATTATTTTGTTTATATATGACATTTAGTTAGTAAAGAATTTGCAACTACACCTGTGCCGTTTTTCTACTGTCACCTCATCACCTCATCACACTCGTCTTTGATCTCTCCTTAACTAATAGAAATATAATTAAATACTTACATAATATACATAACAAAAAACCCAGATCGATACAAACTATCCTACTCATGGATACAAAATATTTGCACCGTGCGAGAAATCGAACCGGCGACGATTGGATATAAAACGGTGTGCTACACCACTAGACCAACGAGGTCTTAGAAATAGTCGTCAAGTATAGAGCTATGTACTAGCAAATAAAGATAGTCAGAGAAACAGGTACAAACAGGCTTCCATGTTTGTAAGTTGCATCAATGTCAATCATCATAAATAAGCTAACGCACAGACGCACGCTCTTGCGAAATACCAAAGAATGGGTAATTAATACTCCTCACCATATATATAAGTTAGGGTTGACACCACAAATAAAAAAAAAACAAAATTAAAGTTGAATAAACTAGGACAATGAAGGTATATAAAAACAGGACCCAGTAATAGATAAATAAATGTGTATGAAAATTGTATCTTATTTTATGAAAGTTTGTGGGTACGGATGGATACATGGATGTTACTCTTTCACACAAAAACGTTTTGATGAAACTTTACAGTAATATTTCATTCAAATTCCAAATTCAAAATATCTTTATTCATGTAGGTCTATTACAGACTCTTATGATATGCAAATCAGTCAGTTCGGAATGATTTCGAGATGAGAAGAACTGACAAGAAACTCAACTCGTATTTTTTTTAAATCGAAATAGAAATAATCTTTATTCAAATAACTTCATTACAAGCACTTTTGAATAGTCATATTTTGATTCTACCACTCATTCGGAATACAGATTCATCACAAGAAGAATGAGCAAGAAACTTGTGTGTTGCTCTTTTTAATAGATGTTTTTTTATATAAGTAATTACAGTATAACAAGTAAGAGGCATGCGCGATAATCAACATAGAAGTCGCTACGCACTCATTATTAATGTAATCAGATAATATTGTCAGTGCTATAGATTTAAAGTTTTTCTATAAAAACATTATTATCGTTAACGAATTCTTCAATTTTATAGTAAGCTTTTTTGCAAAGGAACTGTTTTATTTGACATTTAAATCTTTTTTCTGGCAGATTTATAACAGACTCTGGTATTTTATTGTAAAACCTTACGCAATTGCCATAAAACGAATTACTAACTTTAGCCAAACGACATTTAGGTAAAATCAGTTTGTTATTGATACATAAGCTTTTATTAGTGCAATCACTAACTCTTTTGAATCTGTCTATATTCCTTCTGGCATAGATGATATTTTCATAAATGTATTGAGAAGCAACTGTGAGGATATTTGTTTCCTTAAAACACTTATTCTTTTCAAATAAACAATTAAATAATATAGCATTGGAATAACACATAGGCTA